TGATGAGAGGTGGAAGGTGATGATGGTGGTGACAAGGGTTTTGATGATGGTGATCGTGGTGGTGAGAGTGATGAGGGGTGTGACAATGAAGTGATCGTGATGAAGATGCTGATGACTAGGATGGGGGGTGACAGGGGGATGTGTGAAGGTGTAAGGATGGTGGGGATAAGGGTGGTGACAGGTAGTGGTGATGATGCTGGTGATGAAAATGGTGGTGTATGTTGTGGTGATTGATAATGATGGTGATGAAGTGGTAATGAGTTTAGTATATAGGTGGTGACAGGGATGATGACTGAAAATGGTGATGACGGTGGTGTGATAGTACATGGGGTGATAAAGTGGCGATGAAGTAATGGCAGTGGGATGTGATGGAGAAAGTAAAATGATGAAGTTGGCGATGAGACTACATGGTGTGAGATGGATGGTGATAAATTTGGCGAGGATGATGAAGATAGTTTTTAAAGGTGATATGTAATGATGAGTCGTAGCTTGATGTTGAAAAAGGCATGTATTGATGAAGTGTGATGACAGTCGGCTAGTGAAGTTATGGTGGAATAACTGATTACCCGGCCAGATGGTGGTGAAAGTGATGGCAAGTTGGCTGGTGAAGTGATTGGTGCAAGTGGTGCGTGAAGTGGTGTACAAAGTAGGGTGGGAATGGTGAAAGAGAGAGAAGAGACGGAGGAGAGAGGAGAGAGACGAAGGAGGGACGAAGATGAGGATGCCAGAGAGTCGGAGAGAGAGAGAGAGACTGAGAGAGGAGAAGAGCAGGAGAGAGAGAGAGAACCAGAGAGAAGAGAATCATTCTGCTGCTCCACCAACATTTCATCCCTAACCGGCACGTCGCTCATTCTCCGGGCGGCGAGAATATCTTAGTCGAATAGATGATTTATGATTACGTACTTGCTAGGAGTGAGATGAAGAGCGTTATAGAGCAGGAACTCCGTGTTACTGCGCTGTCACGATGAGAAGCCAACCTTTGGTCTTTTTTTTCTGTCCCATCAAGAGATATGAGAGGAACTTTCTGAACGGAGACGATTGTCTACGGAGACGATCAGAGATTGAGTATCTGAGTATCAATTTTATTTTTTCTTAGTCATGTACGAAGAATATTAGAGCGAACCGTGACTTCCGGCTTTCTTCATGGGGTCAGAAGAAACTTGAGAAGTGATCTAGTTTTTTTCTTTCTGTGCAAAGAGAAACTCTGTTCTTGGCTTATTCTACGCGGGCCACGGATTATTGTCTGTATTTTTTTATTTTCCTTTGATATAGAGAAACGTGTTCTGCGCGTTTCTTCGCGTCAGATTTGCTATTTTTGTTCTGTCTACTAGAGAGACTGTTCGGCTTTTCTCGGGGCAGATTTTCTTTTCTATTTCTTCTAGCCTTCTATAGGAAGGAAACTTTTACTGCCCGTTATTCTCGCGTGTCAGATTTGTCCTGTATCTTTTACTGTATAGTAGAGCGAAAGCTGTTCTGGCTTTCTTTCGGTGGCCAGATTTAGTCTGTATTCTTTTCTTCTGTGTTATAGAGGAACTTGCTTCTGAGCTTTCTCGGGTCAGACTTTTTGCATTATCCTTTCTGTGATATAGAGATACTAGTTCTTGCTTTCTACGAGTCAGATTTGTCTTTTTTCTGTTTGATAGAGGAACTGCTCTGGCTTTCTCGAGTCTCAGATTTGCATTTTTTCTTTCTGTTATCGTATAGAGGAAACTGTTCTGCTTCCTCCTCGCGGGCAGAGTTGTCTTTCTTTATCTTACTGTTGTACTAGAGGGAACTGTTGCTGCGGCTTCCTCGGGGGCAGATTTGTGTCGCTTTTTTTCGTGTTCTGTTATAGAGAGCGAACTGTTTCTGAGCTGTCCTCCTCCCGTTGATCGGGCAGATGTTGGTCTTTTATTTTTTCTTTCTGTATATAGAGGAACTGCTTCTGCGCTTTTTTATCGAAGTCAATTGTCTCTTTTTTTCTGTGACTAGTAGAAGAACATATGTTCTGCGGAGCTTTCTCGCGGCAGCAAGTGAGAGACAGTCTCCTTATTAAATTTGGTAACGTATGAGATGTTTAAGAAAGATCGCTAATAGAATTGTTGAGAATGAGAATGATTTGACGAGAGAGATGAGACGAGCAGAGAGAGATTCTATGAGTACGGGGAGGTAATTGTAGATGTTTTGCATTCTCTGCGGTGTCACTTGCGGCAGAATAGATGTATCCAATCAGAGACGCTAAGGTCTAGGCTCCTTTAGGCCACTCTTGAGGTGCTTATTGCGACTAAGAACAGAGAAGAGGTCAGACGGAACAAAGTCTGTCGTACAATCATTTTTCTTCGTCTGGACCCTGGTGAGCTAGAAGGAAAGGATGTAGAAGAGAACGAGAAGGCGAAGCAGACAATGAGTACGAGAGACAGTAGAGAGAGAGATTCGGACAAGAAGAGACGAGGGAGGGGAAGGAGGGAGGACAAAGAATGGTACAGGAAGGAAGCGAAGGCGAGGGTGACAGGGATGGTCT